CCCTCAGAATAAAAAGGCATGGCCTTCTACTATGTCCCAGTGAATCGGTCTTTTTTGGTTGGCGTTCTATTATGTCTTGTAGGAAATTTTTTCACATTTTTCCTTGAAATTGGTATGGCGTTATATTATGTCCAGAGAATCAAACGGTCCGTGGTGGCCTTCTATTCTGGGTGCCTTTCTATAATATGGTGGCGTTCAATTTTGTGGGGGGGTTTACATGTAACCTAATCATTTATCTAATTTTATTAATTTAATGATGGACAATACACGTTCGTTTTTTGTCAATATCTCAATGCATTTCAATGAGTAGGTCTCATTTTGTTTTCGAAAAAGAAGAAGTTAAATTTCTAACAACTCAAAATATTTATTTAAAGAAATGAAAGTTCATGCGTTTCTAAAACATAAGATCTGAATAGAAGTCTCTTCTACAGACTTTTCTTTTTGTATTGATATTTGTTCAAAAGACTTCTACTCATGCCTTATGTTTTAAAGATGCATGAACTTTCACTTCTTTAAATAAATATTTCGACTTTTTAGAAATTTAACTTTTCTGTTTTCTTGAGAATAAAATGAGATCTTTTCATTAGAATATGTTGAGATATTACAAAAACCTAACTGCACTCTTTCTTCTAACACAGCAATAGTTTTTTAAATTTTTTTTTTCTATACTCTCCGTAGATAATTAAAATTTTGTCGATCGCTCAAGGATGATGAGCTTGTCTTACATCTGATAAATATTCTATTGAAATCTTCTCAAGTTTTCGTTACTAATTCTCAAGTCTAGTTTATTCTAATACCTATGAAGAAATATATAATTACCTACAAAGTTGTGATTTAGGATAATCTCGATGAATAATGAAAGAAGAATCTAAATTAGTTTATTAGTATCAGATATGTATGTGATAATGAAACTTAGATTTTTAAGAAGAATCAATGAATTGATACGACAAGCGAAAAATTCTAGGGGAAAATACCATAGATAAAATGATGTCAATTTTTTGGTATATGTTATCAAAAGAAAATATTGAAGAGCAACACTATTGACGTACTTCTAAAATTTATTCATTGTTGAGAGTATTCTTTTTCTCATTCTTTAACAATCGTCTGTCGTAGATAAAAAATAATTTATTGCTACAGAAGTTAATAGAGCAGCTAAGTTTTTTATTTGATTACTGTAATCTTTATGACTTACGTATAGTTATCATCTAGTGGTTCGTTTAAGATTTATACTGAAAACGGAATATATACTCAGCATTATATTCTTTTTATGGTATAAGAGTTAAAAAATTAAAGTTTCTTCGCGTAAGTTTCAATCGACGACGAACTCAGTAAAATAACAAGCTCTAAAATGAAATCATTAATGAAACTAAGCTATTTAACATTTTTTTCAACTGATTTATTACGATCAATCAGTGTTACGTTTCGTTCTAACTAAGAACATTATCAAACACAAATAAATAGACAGCAGAAGAATATATATAAGAGTAAAATAATGTCTTCGTTTTTCTATTCTATTATTTTAAACATTCTAATGCAGCCGGATCAATTTTACTCCTCTCGTATATTGAAATGCTTAAAACAATAGAATGGAAAACGATGACATTATTTTACTCTTATATATATTCTTCTTCTGTCTATTTATTTGTGTTTGATAATGTTCTTAGTTAAAACAAAACGTCGCACTGATTGATCTTAATAAATCAGTTTAAAAAATGTTAAATAGCTTAGTTTCACTAATGATTTTATTATGGAATGTGGTGCTACCAAATGACAAATAAGTTCTATATTATGTATTTTTTCTACGAATATCGTATTTTGTCAACTATCTCGATGGAATGTACAGACAGTTTTCCACAAATACTATCCTAAGAAAAAGCAAAAATAAACGCAGAACGTAAGGTGAAACTAAATCCTCTACATCGTTCAATTTTGAAGACTTCTTCTATTAGAGTTATCTGAATCTTTTTGCTCATGTTTTCTAAGCTCGACCAACGGACAATGAGAATTCTTATTCACAATTCGTATACAGTAAATATGTGAATTTCTTCGTAATCTGAATAGTATTTTAGATTAAATTCAGATATCATTCATGTATCTTATCTTTGTGTGCATTCACATCGCTCGCAGAAGTGATGTTTACTTATTGAGCAATCTTCATCGAATGAATGAATGAATCTGCCGGACGAATTTATTTTCTCTTTTGTCCTTCTCTAACTTTATTCTTTTTTCCTTCCTCTTCTCTGAATTTTTTCTTTTACTTCTTGACTTAAATTTTTCTTTTCTTCCCTTTGCTTTCCTATCTCTCCAATTTGATTAAGACTAACAATCAATTACTAAGCATATGAGATCCGTTCTGTTTATGCCACATACATTTGTCGAATATATGTTAACTGACAATATTACTCTCTTTTGACTTGGCTAGAGTTTCTAATTGGATTATGTAGCTCATAATTAATAATGTTGTATTGCTTGTCATAAAACGAGTTTCAATTAGCTCATATACTGATGAGTTGACAATTTGTGATGAAAACTCTAATGCAGCAATTTTATGTTTGAGAATATTAGGAACTTATAATTTATCGTACGTTTCGAGCTTTGAACATAATCAAAAAATTAGGATTTCAATGTGAAAATTGAGACTTTAAATCAATAAAATCAACCGGTATTTTTTCGATATTCTAATGTTCGCACCAACACATGATTTTGGTTCATATGATGTCAATGTTATGCGGATTCTTACTTTAATCAAAGGAACTCTTTTTCACATAATTAAATCTACAGCAAAATATTTTTTTGAAGTAATTCAACAGATTAAAAGATAAATGGAAGCTTCAAACGGACTAAATGTCTTTCACGCGTACTGTGAAACAATAAAAAATACAAATTCACGAGAATATAAATAATTATGGGAGCCAGTCCCAAAAACAAATTAATCTACTTTAAGCATTTACAGCTGTTTTCATTCGAAAAGATGATCATAAACATTTCTCACTATCTTTTACGAAGAAGAAAATGACTTATATAACCGTTTCAGAGTTTATTTAATGTGAATAATGCTTGGAAACACTGACTAGACGGAGAAACGGCAAGAAAAGTGATGATCACGTTTTTTTCTTGCCGTTTATCACCGTTTCCTAACAGAACGGGTGATTATGACAGTTTAAACGGTATTTTCAGCGTTTCGCTTCTTCCTGGGTAGTAACTTGTATTCTATTTTAGATGGCAGAAACTGACTCAGTGGGCTTAGCAGTAAATGAATCGACGATGCCCACAGAAAACGAATCGACAGCATCGTCAGAAACCGATTCTAACAGAGTACGAGAGACAAATCTTAGTTATTTCCAACTTCTGAAAGAAATGAACGATATTGTAAAACGATTAACTGACCCTTACTATAACCGTAGTTCTGCAGAAGATACATGCGATTTCAATGACGTAGACAAGATTTTCAACGCTGCGAATGTGACTTTGGAACAAGTTATGAAAAAGAAGATTATGTCAAGATGTGTGATATTTCTCACTACAGTATTCAATGCAGTTATTCGTATCTGTACTGTCGATGAAACTGGTGTCATATTAACACGAACACCTTTTCAATCCTTGATTCGTGAAATAATCCGTTGCATAGAAGATATAATTTATAATCATCAGCGTAATTACGAAAAGTATGCCAGTGATATG